TCCTCACGAAGTGCCCGGGAGTTATGGTAGATTTGTCTAATTTTGGTTACGGTAACCGTCGTTCATGCTGCATGTGTCAACCGCAAAAGCCACCCGAAATCGCCCGCACCTGCCCGATTACTCCTCACAACGTCGGATGGTCAGCGCCAGATTAAACTCGAAGTATGCCTTCTGAGCACGACACCGGTAAACGGAAAGCGCATGTGCATGCTGCAGTTGTGTCGTGGAATTGTGATAAATTATGCCATGATGGCTACGCACACATGAAAAGATTCCTGCCTCAGCGGCCGCATTCGGGAATACATGATGCCGCCATGACCTTCTGTGGGCTCTTCTCAGCGGAGACAAGTACGTGGCTAGGGTTTCCGTAAATAAAGCATTAATTTCCACACAAAATGCCGCACAGCTTTCACTGCGAGGCAAAGGCCTGATCAGACTTTCTGGAATCCCCAAAGGCTGTAGTCATTCTCGATCAGCAAGCGGGCGTGGAGTCTGGAGTCGTGGAGTAGCGCATGCCATTTGTCGATCCCCGATGCTCGACATGGAATTGTCTAGTTCTCATCGCAGACCCACACGGCTGCTGCACGTTCGCACCGTGCATCCTGGAACGAATTAACGTGCCGAAGATGCGGTCGGGTGCAGAGTGCTGACTCCACTGATTGACCGCTCCGCCCACGAGGCTGGTCATCGGGCAGCTGGTAGACAGCCATGTAGCCCTAGAACTTTCTGCCACTGCCCATTTAGTCCAAGTCCGAGGGATATCTCGTGTGTCAATAGCGGTGCACGCATTGATAAGACCATCTAAGTGCCTGGATCTTGCTGGTCCTAGGGCGCTACGACCAGCTCTCGAACCTCAACAAGACGCTGGAAACTCAACCCTGTCGTCCAACGAGCTGCGCCCACGACTGAACACGACCGCGACCGCCCTGGATATAACCAACGGCTCTCACCACCAGTGCACGCCCACGCATACCCAAACCCGCAAACCCCCGCGGTAGCTCTGGGCTGTCCCTAGCAGTCGCTCCACCATACGTCATCCTGCACCACACACGCCAGCGCCAGCTACTAGACATTGTGCCATTCACATGTTTCTCGGCAACCTCTCCTTCAGACGCTTTCCGCACTTCGACAAACCCTTGGCCGTGTGGGAACTGCGATACGGGGTCCAGTAAGTTGAGCCCGGGCGTGGGAGACGGCCAGAAGCAAAATGGCACGCGACTGACATGCTCCAAGACTACACGAGTACCCTTGAGCCCTACGCGCCTCCGAATCGACCGCCGTAGACAATTCCCTGCCCCCAACTAGCCAGCATCGGCTGCACCCTCCATCCCAGCGCTTCCACCACAACATACCGCCAGCGGGGATTGCGTGTGCTTACTTTTGCACCGAGCATTGTCCGCAACGTCGCTGTCACGCTCAACAGCGCCCCTACGCAGTTACATGCCTCCGAAATATTCCGAGTAAATTCCCCGCTTCGGTTCCGCACCTCCCCAGATACTAGGCCTCTGCCACTAGTCTACCCGGGCGACCGCATAGTCTTGCGATTGGCGAAGACACCGTTAGTCATATATCCGATTGCCTGTATAAGTATAGCATCAGGGAGCCCCCTTCAAGTGCTGGAAATACTTAAAGATGGCGTCAGCAGCTCCTCCCAGGCGTTTCAAGGTCGAGCCCATCGAGACAACAGTCTCGTCCTCCAAGGACAAGGCTGCGGCAGAGCAGGACAAAGCTCCGGCACAGCAGGCCGAGAGGCCGAAGCCACGGAGGTTTGCACCACAGCCAATAGAGACGACAAAATCAAGTTCCAAGTCTAGCCGTAGGTTTGCGCCCGAGCCCGTTGAGACTACCAAGAAGTCCAACCGTCGCTTTGCTCCCGAGCCCTTGGAGACGACCACACGAAGCAGTCGTCAGAAGTTTGCCAAGGACTGGGAAGAGCAAACATCCCCCACTGGGAAGTTCAAAGCGGATCCTATGGAAGCGGCTTCAAGCTACAGTAGCCAGTACAGGGCTTCTCTAAAACTGCCTACCAAGAAATTTCGACCGCAATTGATCGAAACTGCCCAAAGACATCGCAAGGCTGGGGACGACACTCCCGCAATACAACCGTCCGACAAGACTGAGGCGACCCCGGACTCTGCAATAAGTGCCCGGAAAGCAAGGATACTGGGAATCCCTCCCACACCGCCAACAAACACACCGACTTTTGATATCAAACAGAACCCTTTGTTTTTGGAGATACAACGCAACGCCTCACCGTGTAGACGCCGGTCGTACTTTAGCTGCTCGCAACACTCGTTCCGTGTTCCTGACTTAGACCCGATTGAGTCTTCCGAGTCTGAAGCATCTGCGCCGCCATCGCCGACCGAGTCGCCACCTTATATTTCAGACCATTCGTTTATGTACAAAGAAGCTACTCGACGACGAGAAAGTGTTGACGACAGTTCTGCTGGCTACCTACTTGAGTTGGCTGCTAAGGCTGCAGAGAAACAGCTTCGGGAACAGGCCTTGGCCGCATTCCCGAACAGCGACTTCCACGAACCCGTGGCTCATTACGTGGATCATGATACAGAAGGCTCAGAGCCATCAGTCACTGAGGCGAAGCCGCAGCGAGAACCGTCCTTCACGCAGGTTAATTGGGATCTAATTGCCATGCGTGAGTATCAAGAGAAGCAGAAAGCCGGTAAAGAGGAGCAGAAGCAGAAGGAGTATGTCAAGCCTGCTTTCAGTCCATTTGGAAACCCAGCCGGCTTTCTGGATGCTGCTACGGCCAAGAAGTTTGCGAAAGAGCGAAAAGACCCCGAATTAGAGCGTCAGCGCAAAGAAGCTCGACCTCCCATGCTTGGACAGGACATCAAATTCCCGCGATGTGCATCACCGGAGCCATCTCGTTTTGACCCTACTCAAGGATGCGATGCGGTCCGGACGGCTATGTGCTATCTCTCTGAGCAGTCCAAGGCCGCGTCTGAAACAGGAGAAAGCTTATGGTGTGGAAAAGGCAACGGCAGGCAAACGAGTACAACACCATCATTGTGGTCCAATGCCAACAGCCGAGCTTCGAGCACGCACGGATTGTGGGGTGGATTTTGCGTCAACGGTGGAGACAAGTCCCCACGCGGGCCAGCCGGTCTACTCACACCCCACAATGAGAAGCCAAACCCCATGTCGCCTTGTCCAACGCCCTCTACGAGCCTCTTGCCACCTACGCCTCCGGCATCGAGCTCCGGCGTCACTTTTGGGCAAACAGACTTCTCGGGCATCGATGAGAAGCTCGCTGTCGAGCAGTCCATCGAAGAAGAATTCGGTGACAACTTTGTCACCCAAGTGTACAATTACCTGTCACTCGGTTATCCATCAATGGCACGTCCGTTCGATGAAGAGCTTTCAAAGATTTCGCACATTCCCATTTCCGAGTTGAGGCAAGACGATCACCTCGCCTCATCCCGTGGCTACATTCGTCTAGGCAACGACGGCAATTTGAAGGACACCCAGATTACCGAGGAGACATGCATGCGCTGGCGCGCCTTACGCATCTATATCCAGGAATGGGCAAGGCAACACCCCCACATGGCTGAAGATGAATTCATGGCTGGGGGGCGTGGAACTGCCGTTAGGAAAGGCAGTTGGGCGCTTTAGATGAGTGTTGCGCTCATGGATTGTATCTTCCCTGTACATGGAGCTTTTTGAGCGGTTTAGCGTTTACATTCAGCGGTTTTTTGGCGTTGGGTCTGGTGTACGTGGTCGGTCCTTCCCTGCATGATGTGGCTTGGTACCTGGATGCAGATCTCCTATGGAGCTGTTCCGGTTTCTCCGCTGTCTGTTTCATGGTGCCGGGGAGTCTGTTGGGACCTGCATATTTCCTTATCTTGAGAATGTATATATGTTTCTTTTGAGATAGGTCCCTTGTAATCAAGCCTCGGTTGGTTTCTAAAAGCTTATGAAATGTAGGGTTTGATAGTGGCAGGGATCGCTTGGCGGATGACATGCGCATTCCGTCGTGGTTTCTTTTTCCCTTATCGCGCACCTCCCCGCCTCCACGCTTCAACGTTTCCGTGTGGATATTGCCGCAGATAGACGCATATACGGCAGGACGACTCGTGTCTAATTACCGGAATCTTACTGCGCTTATATCCAGGTGTACAGCTTGAGTGGCTCGAATAGCCTTTGAGTGTGTTCGGGGGGAAGCAAATACGTCTTGAATACATGTTTCTGTCAACAATACGGTGTTGCTCTCGTTGTTGAAGCTGTTACTCACCGCTCGTCCTGCCGTCAGTAAAACTATCACAATCATTGCTTACACGCGAATCCTTACGATGTTTGATACCAATACGGACAATGCCTACCGTGCGGCTGGAGGCGTCCGCCTCGGACGGCGCCTAACTAGGTACATCCCACGCCTGCGATCGACCCCATCATGCTGAATGTTGCACCCCGGGCGCGCTTCGTTCGGGGACAAGCTTGGCTGTCAGCGACTATTCTCACCAATTATGCATCCCCACTGGCATCTTTTGGAAGGATGAATGGGCCGAAACAGGATGCTAACTATTCAGGTCGACTTTGATGTTGATCATCGCCACAGGCCATCCACGCCATTGACCTCGAAGGATTCCAAGATACCGATTACAACTTCGCGGAGATGTCTATTGATGTTTGTTGTTGGTATAGTCTCAGGATACCTGTCCCGTTTCTTGGGCCGTATCCAGATATGACCTGATGTCTAGGTGTGTTGATAGGTGCAGCGGAACCATGTCTATCTTGGCTAAGCAGTAAACTTCCCGCGGCATGGCATTTTATCATCCAAGGCTGTCATCTCATTTCAAGAGTTTTAACCCTTTTATCTCGACACTATGTTTGAACCGAGCTATTAACAATTCAAAGCATGGAGCATTACATGTGGAGGAAGTGCGACTGATAACCCCAAGCATTCGTTTTCTCTACAACAGGTCTCGTGGACGATACCCTTGGCCGAACGACTTTCAGGTGATACTATCATAATCTCGATCATGGGCGAGAGCAACATGTCCGACTTCGCGCAGCAATTGTCGGTGCAATCATGGATATTATACGGCATCGGCATGGTCATGATCTTACTCCGCACGTTAGTAATACCTAGCCAAACCATATCGCCGTGCTCACTCTTAACTACAGATACGCGCGATGGCATCGAGTCGGAAGCCTAAACGCCTTTGCAGCAGATGATTGGATCATGGTAACAGCCGTACCAACCTTCTACACTGGGCTGATTGTATGCTTGAACACAATCGCAACGGGAGGTGGAAGTAACCTCTTTCCACCAGAGCTGTTCTCTACGTTCACTCAAGGAGAGATCGATGAGCGAATCAAAGGATCGAAGATCGTCGTCGTTTCCGAGCAAGTAAGTCAACAGACCACGAGGCATTAAAACCATACTATGACGCACAACTAACACGTAGTAGTGTATGCTCAACGTTATATGGTCCTTGAAAGCCTGTATGCTGTTCATGTTTGCTCGTATGCTGACCGGAACAACGAACATGAAGTGGATCAAAGTGGCTGCACTATGGGTCGTTATCGGCTGGTTCGCTGTCCAGATCACTTTCTTCAGTGCATGTCGCCCATTCGTAGGATACTGGGCAGTGCCGCCTCCAAATCCGCAATGCACGACTCTTGAGCACTTTGCGATAGTACAGGCAACTTTCAACATAAGCAGCGATGTCCTCATCATCGCTGTGCCGATACCGATGATCATGTCGCTTTCACTTCCTCTGAAACAGAAAGTCGTGCTGGGCATACTATTCAGCATGGGTATCTTCGTTGTACGTTCCTCCCTCCTGTCAACTCACGGTTTCTTCTTACTGACATGACCGATAAGATCGTCGCAGCAATATTGACAAAATTTTACAATCTATCGGACGTATACTCCACCACGTACATGCTGTGGTATACCCGTGAGGCATCCGTTGCCGTCTACGTAGCCAATCTCCCCGGCATCTGGCCTCTTCTCCGCGAACACATACGTTTCCTTCGTGAGCACACAAGCTATTATGCCACCAGCCAATCACAGATGCCTGGCCAGAGCTCGCATGGATACGGTAATCTGTCTAGAAGCAAGCGCCAGAGCCGTGCCCGCACCTTTACAAACCTCAGCTCACACGACGTCGAGCTCGCTTACGATATCAAATCTGGCATTACATCGATACATGCACCTGGGCAGAGAGTACTAGGAAGCGAGAACCCCTTCGTGGAAAGAGAGGATATCCAAAGGAGCGACGACAGGAAAGATCTGGAAGCGGGGAGTAGTCGGAAGGGAATGAATGGCGTAGCCTATATGGGCGTACACATTGATACCGAAGTAGAGATTCAGAGCGACCAATGGATGGGGAGTAGGTTGGAGTTGGCGCAGTCGAGAGTAGTCCGGTGTGAAGGTCCGGAGGCGCAGGCAGGAAGATGATGATGCCAACTTGTGGGACTGTTGTTAGTTGACGCGCTTCGTCGGGTCTGTTGAATATGTCAAATTTCGTCTCATCTCGAGCCAGACGATACCCAATCAAGCAATATCGTAAGCCGTTGATTGCGGTAGGATATCATTCACCCTCTACCCTCCACCCGCTCCGCTAGCGTTGCCATTCTTCTTGGTACATACCCTTCTATAGATGGGTTCTCTCCACCGTAGATTTTAGGGGGTAGGGCTTCTCACGTACATTGCTGCCGCAACTCATCTCAACCTGGGACAGACTTTACTGCGTTAGGCAAGTACTGAGAGCTGTCGATTGTCGCTACGGTATCTTCACTTCCCAGGAAGGCGTTTAGAGGTTTGTAGAATGGGTAGAGGTTTACCCTTCGTCGTCTGGAAGTTCTATTCAAGTGCCTTCGTATTACCGTATATTCTGGCGTAAATGCATTTCTTTGGCGATTAGGCATATTTCAGGTCCGTTGAACCTGACGGAGGTCCTTCACTCAAAGATCGAAAGGGCATCGCGCTGACGTCAGAGGTTCAATCACGCTAAGTTCCGCTGGGGTTAGTGCCTCGTGACAACGCGATCTCGCGCGTCGCCCTGGCTTGTGGCGAGTGCTACTTGCATTGGTTCGAGGCGCCGCTCCGCAGCTTGCTGCGACCTCGCAATGGCGCTCAATCCTCGGAGCCCTTCCGTACACAATCAAATGATAACCCGATTCATCAAACATCCTAAATCCACCAACTTCGATGGCGAGCAAGATCGACCGGTCAAGCGCCAGAAGACGGGCAACAGCCCCAAGAAACCACCGCCAACACCACGCAAGGCCGTCAAGCGCGAAGTGCTTGATTCTGACGACGAGAGTAGTGGCACTGTGATCAAAGAGGAAGAACAAGAACACAAGACAGACCTAGAAAGTGCGCTACCTCAAGTCGACACAGGCGATGACGCCATCAAAGCATATGAAGCGTACAAGGCCGAGGAAGAAAGCAAGACAGTCGGGACAGATGAGCGCTTGGAAAAGCGATCATGGGTTCGAGGCAAGAGCTCGCTCTATGTCGACGCATTCAACCTCGCGTTGGATACTGTGCTGGACGAGGAAGGCCACCTCTTTGATGAGGCTGAAACAGAAGTCTTTCGAATGTGGAGAGATATAGGCTATGAAGCGCAGTATCTGTAAGATAGAAGTTCCAGTATAATGAGCAGTAGAGTCATACTAACCTCGACTTCTCTCCTAGATACGTACGCCTTTTCCTTCGCAAGACCTCCGCATGGCATCGCATAAAGAACCTGGGCTACCACAGCGACATCTCAGACCTTGACGCAGCAGCCGAAATACTGCAACGTACATATGACCTGCCGGCCTCCTCCTCCGAAGTCGAGTCACATCCGGGCGAACTAGAGGCACCAGCAGGCACAACACTGGGCAACACATTCACGTTCGCGGATCGATCCGAGGAGGAGATAAGCACACTCGAGGAAGCATCATCCTTGCTGAAACTCGATGAACTGAAGGCTCTTGCAAAGGATGCCAAGGTCAAGGGAAAGAACAAGGGTGAGCTTCTGAAGGCTCTAAGACGCACAAGTCAGCGACAGGCCGGTCTTGGCCACGTTGGTTTGACCCGTTCGGACTCGGAGATGTCGCGAGCATCCTCTGTATCCAGACCCCGACCAGAAACGCCCGATGTCGAGCTGGAGCCCGAAGGCGATCTCTCGGATGATGCAAATCGCGATGCGCACTTCACACGAAGGATCATGCAAGAAACGGGCCCTTGTATACGACTCTCCCTGGCCACTTTGAAGCTCTTCGAACGTGTCCATCTTGTCTTTTACCGCTCTACCGAGTGGACCGAGAAGTCATTGACAACCATCATCTTGGCGAAGATTGCGCGTTGGAACTTTCCAGAGTACATTGTCTCTCGATCTGCGAACATCTTCGCCTCTCGGTCCCTATTGCTCGAGTATGAGGCTTCTATCCGAACGCAGTATCGGATAGATAACATTTTGGAGTTCAACGGAAGACCAACGGAGAAAGGGTATCAGGAAATCTTGGATACCTTTGAGGAGGTATATCCGCGCTGGCAAGTGCTTGTTCAAGAAGAGCAGCGAAAAGAGGACAGCGTCTACCATAGCGGCGAAGGGTCATACCTTCGTCGTCTTTCACCAGCTTGGGTGTACACGCGCATCATTCACAAGACACTTGACATACTCAGACGACGGAAGGAGCATAGGCGCGAGCACGAGCTCTTGAATGAACTGCTGCAACAGCGACTGTTCCATCATTCTCGCAGAGGAGCTTGGTATCAGCGCAAAGCATTGCTTGAAGAACACTACATGGCCGCCTTGACCGATGCGGAGAACAGAAGCGTAGAGAAACAAAAGAGGCATTGGAAGCTTATTGCTTTGCAGACCTGTGAAGACGGGTTGCAGGATAACCTTGTGCATATTATCTATCACTATGATTTGCAGAAGCGTATCACCAAACTTGAACTGTCACTGAAATTTGTTAAACGATTGCAACACGACTTCTCACACGTCCGCTTGACGAAGCCGGTCGAAGTTGTTATGGAGGGAACGCGCATCGAACGTGAAAGACCCTCATTGTCGAGACGGAATAGCTCACCACATGCGAAATCGGGCCGACGGGGTGGAAAGACAATATGGATCGACCCGCGTGAGGACGGCGAATGCTCGGTCGAAGCAATGTGTCTCTCGCATTACCGCAACCAAGGCTGGAAAGGCTATCACGCCGAAGGTGGTATCGTGCGCACGCTTTTCGCATACTTGTTCTACGACGTCCTATTCACGTACGTACCCAACGTCTTCCAGACTCCGTACCAGACCTGTCCGTTGGACCTACATACCGACGCCTTCTATCCGTCTCGGATATCCGAGATCAACGCGAGGTTGAATGAGATATCAAACGGCGACGCACCCGCCATCATCCAGAGAATCTACGACGACCACCATGAGCGTCGGACTTGCGTTGTAGGTCTGGACTGGACATACGACGTTGTGGACCTGCTTGAAATTGCTCGCTGCTTTGACGGCGAGGCGTTGGCAACTGTGTGCAAAGTCATGGCGCAAGAGTATGGGCAGAGAGGTGGCGGTGTACCCGATTTGTTTCTTTGGCGAGTTGCAGAAGAAGAGGGGAAGAAGGGCGAAGTCAAGTTCGCAGAGGTGAAAAGTGAGAACGACCGTTTGAGTGATACACAGAGGCTTTGGATACATGTGCTCTCTGGGGCGGGAGTGACGGTCGAGCTTTGCGCTGCCGTGGCTAAAGAGGTGAAGGTCGTTTGAAGTGAGAGAAGAGGCACGCCTTCCGATATTGCGAAGCAATCCATGGATGACATCAGAGGACTGTTTGCTCTCACTAGCCCGATTGGACTGTTGTCGTAACCTTGGAAACCACCCTCGACGCTCCTTCTGTTTTGCTCGTCACGAAGCTTGAATCGCGTACGGAACACCACGATGGACGCTCGAGTTGCTCAAGAAGCAGCCGTCATGTAAGTTATTACGGAAGTTTCGCGCTGCCCAAATTATAACTAATATCGCTGCAGCGCCACGCGCAACCAGCGAGAGTTGGCCTTTCTGCGTCTCCCGGTCGAGATCCGCAACCAAATCTATGCCTACGCCCTTCGCCACACCAAAATCCCCAAGTTCTCGGGGCCTTACGAGATAGATGTTATTCGCTGCCTACCTCTCCCCGCGGATCTGTGGCTCCTCGCCGTCAGCCGTCAGATCCATGCTGAGACACGCCTCCTACCCTTCAAGCTCAATGCTTTCCAGATGTTGCCCAAGGATATCGGCATATTCGTCAACAAACTCAGCAACGCGCAAAGAGATGCAATAACCACGTTCAGGGTCTGTAGAGGATCTTTCGAGTTCACCAGTGGGTTTATCCCGGTGGCTGATATGCATATAGTGCAGAGCAGTACATCGGCGGCCCTTTGGGTTTTGGAAACAATGATAGGCCTCGAGCGCGTTGTGATCCATGGCTGCATTGCTTGGGACAAGAAAAACGTGTGGGCTCTTCACTCGGAAAAGGAAATATCTGCGTGGATTCGTCGCTGTGCTGGAAATCGAGAAATCGAGGTAGTATTTGAGTACAACGACCTCGCCCTTTGGTAGTTTATTGCTATGGCGGGAAGCGAGTTCTACACTCTTCTCTAGAGACTCAGAGATCGTAGATTGCAACATGATTCGCGACACTCGGAGCATATATTCGCTTCTCTTTATTGAAACTACACATAGTCTCCATGTGTCTTCATTTCCATTCTCTCACTTCCATACGTCTGACCAGTTTGCTTATACGGATCACATTGGCCATGTATCCAACGACAAAGCGATTTGTGAGATTCAATTCTGCATACTCCAAAGGGAGGATGACGTGGTATCTTATGATTCAACAGCCCCGCTCAATCGCATCAGGGTGTGCTCTCCTCCATTTCCTGTCCCAAGTGGCTCGCTTCACGCAGGGATATCAAATGCTCTTCAATGTAGTACTTGACCCCATGAACTCCATCATATAAAGTCAACCTTTTGTAGCGTGCACTGCCAGACGCTTGCGTACGCCCATTCCTGCGCCGTGTATATGCTAATCGAAATCGTCGGAATTTGGTTCGTAACGTGTATGCGCCGCGCTCAGCCGAGGACCAGTAGATAGATTATCATGAGGGTGTTGATTAACATCAACGGTACTGCATTGTGTCAGCAAATGTGTCCTGGCTTTGTCTTCCACCCCTCTAAGGGACGTGGGTATGGAGGGGTACACGTACACCTCATGAGCGTCCGTACGGAGGATACGAGGTTGATCAGTCGCGCCTTTATACTGGCATCGTCGCGAGGGCCGCCGAAACCGGGTTCTGCTGCAGATGCTGTCCAGCCAACTATGTCCTGGTCAGTCGGATGCTCAATTGTAATTCGCGTGTGCCAGTGGATGCGTAGATGCGCAAAGGTCGCGGCGGGTCATGAGGACCTGGTAAACGTACTGCGT